AAATTCCGATATATTTCGATTTCTTGGTTGTCAAACGTTTCATTCATCCAGTTTCAGAGAAGGAAATCGAAGAACTCGTTTCTGCTCAAACAAATGCTAACACAAAGAAAAATACTAGGTGGTCAGTTGGAGTATTTAACGAGTTGAGGTCAGCAAGAGCTAAACACGACGACAAAATTCCGGATTTGCATCTCATAGATGCGGAGAGTATGGATTTCTGGCTTCAGAGGTTTATTATGGAAGCTAAAAAGAAGAAGGGAGGCAATAATCCACCCAAATCTCTATATTATATCGTTTGTGGTCTACTCCGACACCTCAGAGACATGAATGTTAACGACAAAAACTTTCTGGATGAGAAGGATGGTCGCTTTGCTCCGTTTAGACGTGTATTGGATGAAAGATTTGCTGTCCAAGTGACTAGGAACGAAAATGCGCAGAGCCTATCAAATATCACACGAAGATGAAGAACTCTTGTGGGTTAATGGTATTTTTGGAAAGAGTGGTGCTACAACTTTACAATACACCGTTTTTTTTTATAACTGCAAGTTATTTGGACTAAGAGGTCGCGACGAGCACAGAAATCTTGATTGTGATCAGTTTGGTATTGGTATTGATTCTACAGGAAAGTTTATTAGATTCATCGGGAGAAATAACAAGACATTTAAAGGTGGCCTCGGATACATGCAATTAGCGAATAAAGATATAAAGCACTATTCACTAGGCGGTTAGTTGTTTAATTTACATATAATGACCAATTCAAACACGAAAGATTATTTGTCTAAATTATTCTACGCGTGTACCCGTTTTATATGCTTTTGACAATTTAAATTTCATTCTGAAAAGAAATATTGTTTTTATATTATCTTATTCAACCCGGCACTCCGACCTTATTTTCCAATAAAAAACGGACCACCACTATATAGCCAATAATGCTGAAAGTGGCGTTAAATAGCAACAACAAATAAATCATTTTCAAATAAAAAGCTAGAATGAAAGAGCGTAAGCTTCACATCACATTGCACGATATAGCCAATTGTGCTGAAAGTGGCGTTAAACAGCAACAAACAATCAATCATTTTCAAATCAAAAGCTCATATGCGAAATTATAATATACACGATAAGTTTTGCAGAATATACCTGCAACTGTTATAATTTTCTTTGAATAGAAGCAAGCGGGAAAAAAAACTCTTTTGATTTGTTTTAATTTGTAGGTCCAAGATGCATAATTGCTTACTATGAAGAGTACTTGAAAGCTGTAGGCTCCGGAACATTTTATCGAAAACCGCTCAAAATTGATGAAAAAGATCGTTTTCGTTATTGAAAATCATCACTTGGAGTAAACACGAATCATTCCGGAAAACGCACTTGTGCAACCGCCCTATACCATGCAGGTATTGATGAACAAGAAATCATGTCAAGAACTGGTCACCGCTCCACGGCATCAGTGAGAGCTTACAAAATTAGTAATGGGAGCATTCAAAAAAATGTGTCAAAAATTTTGAACCCACCCGTTCTTTCGAGCGAAGATGAAAACACGACGGTTTCCAACACAGTAGATGAATTGCGTACAGATGATGGTTACAAAATGAAAAATGAGAATAAGCACTGTTTGAATGATGTAACAACTATGAACGGAGGAGAAATTTCTTTTTTTTCAGTTTTTTGTTTTTGTTTTTGTTTTTTTATTATTCTAGGAGAAAATGAGTGTTTTTTTATTCTAACGCTTTTGCATTTTGTGAAAGTTCACACAACAGGCATTTAATAGATATAAAAAGATGTGGTATGACTGCCAATGAGACAACTCTCCATCCAAGTCAAAATTTATAAAAGTAAATCATTATAGGTCACAGTACGGTCTTCAACACGGAGCCTTGGCTCACACCGAACAGTAAGCTATAAAGGGCCCCAAAAATTACTAGTGTAAAACCATTCAAACGGGAAAACCAACGGTCTAATCTATATAAAAAACGAGAAACGAGAAACACTTATGAACCACATCAACAAACGACACATACTGAACATCAGATTCCTGACTTAGGACAGGTGCAAACAAATGCAGCGGGTTTGAACGTTTTAATGGTACCAAACCTTCACCCTTTTTCTGAAACAATAGTGTAACATCACAACATAGAAAGACACACTATAAAATATCAACTGAAATAGCTTAACTCAATCAAAGGACATATTAACACCATTGAACATACACTGAACAAATAAATTTGCCCTATGATACAATGTAAATACAAAATAGATAAACTAAGGGAAGAATATTAAAAGTAACATGTTATATCGGTATGAAATGTTAAACAATTAAAGAAAAACAATATGCTCGAACAAAAATATTAGCCATTTGCAAAAACTTTAAACACAGGTAAATGAAAATAATTTTGTTGTTAGGTATACGTGTACAGTTCCAATAGAGAAAGGGAATATTTTTACAAAATAAATAATTTTGATGTTCATAGTACGAAGTAAAAATTTATAGTAATATCAAACACTTATCAAAGCTGGTATATAGACCAGATATAACATTAAATAATTTAATGCATTTTATTGTCTTTGAAAAAATAAATAATTCTGTCGCACTATTTTCTGCAGTAAAAGTGATAAGGCTTCATGTTTTCACGTGAATGCATGCATTTTACTAGATTTAAAAAGCACTCAACTTGGTATCCATCGTCTGTCCGTCATAATTCTGTTTTCAAAATTGAGATTGCTGTCACTTGGCGTCCATTTTTTAGTGCGATGGTCGTGTTAAGCATTGTGTGAGAATATTACATCTTCTATCTTCAATCTACCAAAGATACGACTATTGCATCTGCAGTCCGTACTTTATTTACAATTTCTTGGACCCCCCCCCCCCCACACCACCAAATATGAATTTCATAGATTTAAAGCACTCTGCTTGGTTTCGATTCCGTCGTCTGTACGTCATAATTTTGTTTTCAAAACTGATATTGCTATCATTTAGCGTCCATTTTCAGTACAATAGTCGAGTTGAGCATTGTACGAGAACACATTACATCTTAAGGCTACCAAAGATACGACTATTGCATTTGCAGTCCGTACAAAATATGATACTTGAAATAGAGTGTCAAAGTGTTACTTACAATATCTGAGACAACCCTCCTCTGGCTGATGTTCGTTGTTAGAAACGTGCTTTTGCTTATTCACCTTAAGTATTTAAAAATAAGAAGATGTGGTATGATTGCCAATGAGACAACTATCCACCAAAGTTCAAATGAAGTGGATGTTTATTCCAAAGCCTCCCCGCCCAAACAACCAAGAAAACCAGAAGAGAACAACGGGAAGTCCAAGGAGGCGGAGCCTCATATGAAAAGCAGAGTGGGATTAGCTTGGTCCAGTGCATTAACTTCGATCTAAAAATTAGTTATTTTACTGGTCTAAGCTCCTCCTACTCCATGCCTTTCCTGCGACAAGCGGTCAACTGTGGGATAGTAGAGTTCAATAACTAAAAAACGTCCTGTTAATGCACTCCTCTATAAATAACTTATTTAACTCGCGCAAAAATCAAAGGAAAAAAATAACATTCATGTTACAAGTAAAGCTTAACCCACGGATCATGGTCTTTGTACAAACTGTTAAAATTAAATGCATAACTGTAAGTAAAGTATGATTAAAAATCAATATAATAAGATAAAACAAAAACACCATATACAAACATAATTTATCTGCCGAAGTTTGTAGATTTTCTTCAGGCTTTTCGGCGTTCTCCGCCAACAAACACGGACTGCCATGCTATAGCCGAGGACACCTGAAAGTTGCGTTAAATACCATCAAGCAAACAAAATAAAACAGTTTTTTTATTTATAAACTGAAGCATTTAATAAAAAAAAAATAATAAAATTTTAAAAGTCTGTTTTACAAGCTGTGGTAGATGATGTTATTAATATGCCTATATTATTTAGAAAACTAAGTGAACGAAAACTTATAAAAAAAAGTAAGAAACACACCTTAAGTTTTAACATTTGAAACCCACATAAGTTATTTTCTTCTGGTCACTTTGAAGTAAAACCTATGCATTTTAAACATTGATTCAAAGATCACCTCTCTAATACGGCCATTTTTCTCAGACTTTAAGGTTAATCTTTGTATATAGATTTGAAGACCGTACTGTGACCTATAATGGTTTACTTTTATAAATTTTGACTTGGATGGAGAGTTGTCTCATTGGCACTCATACCACATCTTCTTATATCTATTTACTGTAGCTAGTTTCATGAGTTGAACATGTAAAATGTGCTGTACTTTCTAGTCTGCAATACAATATGTCACTACTGATTTTTCTTTACAAAAATACCTTTTGGGAATAAATACTTATGCAATAACGCTGACTACTTATGCATACCTGTAGTTTACTTCTATACTACCTAAATAAAATAATCAACTGGTGTAGAAATCAAAATCATTTCTTATGTTGTTCTTTAGATATTTCTCACATATTCTTTACGGACAGTTTACTGAAGCAAAGGATCTTATTACGTTTGGGGGCTCAGCTTAACAAACAACCCTTTTCAATTTAAACAAAGACTATAGAAGATAGAGAGGAACTGTAAACAGTAAACCTGATATGCACTAAACGATCCACCAATAGGTCAACGTAGCCGAAATAGTCCTTCCTATTCTTTTAGTAGCTATTGCCCTTGAAATATGATTTTCACCATGTTTGTGTTCTGGGCAAAAAATCTAATAGATAGAGATAAACTGTAAACAGAAAAAAAGTATCAGCAATACAAAACCAAGAAAAAAGAGATTTTGAATCTGATTATATATACAAACAAGGAAAAAATTACAAATTCGATATAACACTAAACTGATTACATTTCCTTTTCCTTTTCAACCGAAAATATATATAATTTCAGTTGACGTTACGTGCCAGTAGGTCTGTTTTGATCAAATTGGCTTATCAATAAATAAATTTTGTTTCGTATAGATAGGATTTCCAATCGGTATTGTTTTGGCATTTAAAAAGTCTGAAACGTAATCCTTGTTGAAAGATTTTTTAAATGAGTGGTTATTTCTTATTAGAATAGTTAACTCTTTTATTTCAATGAATTAACATGATATGAAAACATGGAGTACAGAAGAAATAGATGAAAACAAAACACAACATGGACATGCAATGACACATTATTTTTTTATTGGAAACTAGTAACCTGAACGGAGTTGAAACAAGATGGCAATGTCTCATAAAAGAAGAAGGTATGAAGTGGCAACATTTTTTATCTGTTCAATGCGAAAAACTACGATATTATTATACTTCAAATAGCACCCTTCAGATATGCAAACAAACAGTACTTAGGATTTCAGTACCATATTTATAAATACTGATTGAAATATTTGGTTTAAACCTTTAAATTGCTTCCATTTATCAAAAGTGAAAATAACAAAAATACCGAACCCCAAGAAAAATTCAAAACGGAAAGTCCCTCATCGAATGGCAAAATGCAAAGTTCAAACACATCGAACGAATGGAAAACAACTGTCATATTCCGGACTTGGTACAGGCATTTCCTTGTGTAGAAAATGTTGGATTAAACATGGTTTTATAGCTAGCTAAACCTCTCACTTGTATGACAGTCGCATAAAATTCCATTATATTGACAACATTGTGTGAACAAAACAAACAGACATAATAGGTTAAAATGTCAAATATTGGGGTGCAGCAGTCAACATTGTGTTATAATCTTAATCACTATAAGAACAAACAACTATGTCAACAAAGAAAAATAAAACGGCATATAGACAAAGCACATAAGCAAATAAATGCAAACAAAGCATCAATTCCTTCCATATAGAGAGAACTGTGATTGTTGCAATATTTGTTTCATAAATTATGAAATTAAATCATGAAGTTAAATTAAGCAAAAATACATCCCAATTGAGGTCGCGAACTTGCAAAGTGTGCTTGGCATGAATAACCAAAATCAAATCAGATGCAATATATATTATATTTTTGTTCATTCGGTTTTATCAGTTTTAACCCGTTCTAGTAGAGTTTGTATTTTCAAATGTTCACTGAAAATACATCATTTATCGTAATGCGCATTTGGAGCAGACAAGTCAGGAATATGACAGTTGTTTTCCATTCGTTTGATGTGTTTGAGCTTTAAGTTTTGCCGTTTGATAAGGGACTTTCTGTTTTGAATTTTTCTTGGAGTTCGGTTTTTTAGTTATTTTACTTTTTGTACCACTCAAAAACATTATTTCATTTGGATCGATACCACTGTTGGTAGACTATAAATATCCGAGTGTATCTCCAGCCCAACAGCTCATTTCTATGGTAGTGGCATCACAATGTTGCGATTGATTTCATGGAATTTAAAAAAATAATAGTCATTGAATCATTGGTATTGTTTTTTTCTTCAAATTATTGTACCTAATTCATTGACAACCCTAATTTCTTGTCCAGCTTTTGCTATACGTTTGGCCCTTTTGCCATATGTTAGGGGTATGTTTTTTTTTTTTGCTTTTTTTTTCAATTTATACATATTTTCGTCAAAATCGTCCTTGAAGACACTCATTTGTCAAAAGGCGCATCTAGCCTGAAAAATTGAAACCAAATAGAAATTAGGAGATGTGGTATGATTGCCATGAAACACCTACCAGATTTCAAATGGGGCGGATGTAGGCAATTATAATCCAGCGTAATCCTACAATAATGAGACACTTATATCGTATAGTCAGCTACAAAAGCCCCAACATGACAAAATGTAAAGCAAATCAAACGAGAAAATAAATGTCCTAATTTCATAATAAATAAACGTACCATACGCTACAAATGTATTATTTTTGGATGATATTCTACACATTTTGTTAAAAATTAGCCCGAAAATAAAACAAGCTACACCGACGAACAGATGATAAGTTTGATGGAGTTTCTCATTGGCAACATATTTGTTGAATTTAGAGGTAGATTTTTCCAGCAGGTTTTCGGCATCCTATGGGAACCAACTGTTTCATCTTTCTTGCTGGCCGACCTTTTCTTATTTTCATATGAGTCGGAGTTAAGACAATAATAAAAAAAGAATATATAAAGATGCTAGATTATCTAATTTCACATACAGGTATATTGATGATTTTCTTTCCATTAACAATCCTTTTTTGCCAAACAAACTTTTTTGATTGGGTCCCATTAATATATCCTGCTGAACAAGAGATTAAAGAAACCACAGATATAGCTTCATCAGCATCAATTCTAGACATTTACCTCAAATTTGACAACAGTGGTCGTCTCAGTACCAGAATCTATGACAAACGAGACGATTTAAATTCTGAAATTCTAAATTTTCCACACTTTAGCAGCAATATACCAACTTCACCCGCGTTTGAGGAATACATTTCTCAACTAAAACGATATCCAAGAGCTTCCTCTGCTACTCAGACTTTGTAAAACGACATCGGTGTGTGAGCAAACAATTAGTGAGCTAGGGTTTTGTTTCAGAACGTCTTGTCCTTTTTTTCCAAAAGTTCATCGGAAATAACAAGTCCTAATAGATAAATATTCAGTGTCTACTTCACAAATAATACAAGATGGTCTTGAGTTATAGATTCTAGGTGCTGAAGTTGTGTATCTTTTTGTTTTACTTTAGTTTCCCCGTTATTTGTCTTCGTGCTATTATGTTTCGTTTGGTTGTATTACTTTGACGTGACATGCTATTTAAGCATCCCGCTTTCGTGTTTTTAACTTTGGGCATTCCAGGTGTAGATGGATCCTGATGTGCGATGATTCCGACACAAAGGGTTTTTACAGTGTCGTTTCTATTTTGTTTACCCTTGTGTTTATATTTACTTAACTTTTATTTTATCAAGAAGGTGTATACTATGTACGGTATGTACTATAAATGACATGTACTGTCAAAGGCAATTTATTTGTTGTTGACGTCATTAAAATTTACTATCTACTACACCGTTTTTGTTGTCGTCTTTGTTAGATTAATTTGTATGTTTGTTTGAATTGTTTAGTCAGTTGTGTTGTAAGTCTATGACAAAGTTTGGGATGCTGGATCCCAATATTGTCACATAAACCTGTTGTGTCTGTTTTGGTTGCTTACCAAATTTTGTCAATATAACGGAAATATAAACAAATGTCATACAAATGTGATGTTTATTTATCTATAAAACCAGGTTTAACCTATCATTTTCTTCGGAAAACCCCTGTAAAAAGTCAGGAATATGGCATTTTTTTTTCACTAGTTCCGCTGATTGATAGCGTTTGATTTTGTCAGTTTTTATGGACCCCTTATTTGAATTTGCCTTGGAGTTCAGTATTTTTGTTAAACTTTTTTATGACATAACAATTTATCAAAAACCAATATGACAGACAAGAACAAACGAAAACCACTGATTCGGGTGCTCCTTATTTGAGACAGGCACATAAAGAATTGTGGTGGAGTTAAGGTTGTTTGTGATAATTAAACCCTCCCTTAACCTTGGATAGTAATGTAACAGCACAACATAATATTTTAAAAATCATGTAGTTCTCAAAGTATTGACTACTAAGATGGTGAATTATTTTGCATATCTATCAGAAATTATTTACTTGTTATAAAAAAAACGTATATCGATCAAAATTCTTTTGTTATCAAGTTTTCTCACCTAATAAAATTGAGAATGGAAATGGGGAATGTGTCAAAGAGACAACAACCCGACCAAAGAGCAGAAAACAGCCCAAGGCCACCAAAGGGTCTTCAACACAGCGGGAAAATCCCGCACCCGGAGGCGGGCTTCAGTTGGCCACTAAACAAAAATGTGTACTAGTTCAATGAAAATGGACGTCACAATAAACTCCAAAACATATAAAGGAAGAAAAATTAAAACACATACAAGACTAACAAAGGCCAGAGGCTCCTGACTTGGGACAGGCGCAAAATTGCGGCGGGGTTTAACATGTTCTGTGAGATCTCAACCTTCCCCCTATACCGCTAGCCAATGTAGAATTAATAAACACACAGCAATACGCACAGTAAAACGCAGTTTAAAAGAAGTCTGAGTCCAATGTCAGAATAGGTAACAAAAGAAATTAAGCAAAATGACAATGATACATAAATTAACAAAGGACTAATAGCAGTTACCGACATGCCAGCTCCAGACCTCAATTAAACTGATTGAAAGATTATGTCTTCGTGATATGAAAATCAAGCACAATCCCTCCCGTTAGGGGTTTAGTATCATACCATCATAAAATATATTAGAAGAACATAACCCGTATCATGCCAACAACTGGCTTTGGAATAAATGTGTTTATTTCCGATGCAAAGACCCTATGAGTGAATCAATATTAATACCAAAATATGCCATCTTTAATGACCTGACAACATTATCGTAACTATATCCCTTCTGAATAAGTCTGTTTAAAGGTTTGGTTAGCTTTTGAGGTGAATGTCGACATAATTGTGCTTTGTATAGAATATTACCATAAAAGATTGGATGTGTAATACCTGAACGTATAAGATGTCTGTATGTTAATTTATATTTACGAATGATATCCTTGTACCGATGATAAATGAATAATTTAGTAAATGTTTTGACTAGTTGTGATATCGAAAACCCTGGTGTAATAATTTTTTAGTAATACAGAGATTTCTTTCGTTAAAATCAAATACGTTGTTACATAAACGAACGAATCGAACAAGTTGATATATATAAACACCATAAGATGGTGACAAGGGAGCGTCACCATCTAAAAATGGATAATTAACTATAGGAAATGAAAAATCACCTCTTTTATCATAAATTTTGGTATTAAGCTTCCCGTTAAAGATATAGATATCACGTTAACATTTATACAATATACATCTGCACCATGAACAATTTATAAGCTTGCCATCTTATTCTGGTCATTTAAGTTTCATAGCTCTAACAACAATCTATGTCTATACAATTATGAACTCGTTATGTGTTTGTGTATCTTTGTCGGTTAATAATCATTGGTTGAGCTGTAGATACTTTTTGGAGTACAACGTTGTTAGATGTCAGTCTTATTGCCTCCTATGTTTTATTTATTTTCTTCACTTATATAATAAATATGTTTACAGTAACAAAATAGACATCGAATCATTACTGTTATTACGTCAGAGAAAAGAGGAGTTAAAAAAACTGCCAATTCCAGCCGACCAAAACATATCATTTAAGAAATATGAAGTTACCGTGACCAAAACTATGACAAAGACCAAAAAAGATATCGAAAGAGTATCAAAGTATGCTTCAGATATCTTAGAAGAACTCAAGAATGTAAGAGAACTGGTGAAATTTTGCAGCGTCAAAATTGGTGAACAACTTCAAGAACTAATGAAAAACTACCTTATAAAAAGTACGTATGCATTTTATTCTACAACACATGTACAGCCATACAATTTATAATAATAATTACACAACAAGACTACAATGTGTTGAACATCAAATGTTTGCAAGGTGCATAATTGAAACGGAGTTGAAGAAGAGAGGCGGAAGATACTAATTGAAATAACAAGCGCCTTTATTGATTTAACTTTATCAAGAACGTTTAAACCTAAACATTTGATCATTTGAAAGCTAAAGACGTAGGAGACCTAACACATAACGAGTTATATGACCAAAAGATACCTAAATAATAGCTAATGTCATCTAAGGTCAACAGTCAAACATGTTTTATCAACGAAAAATTTAAGAAAAATTTGTTAAAATTTATATCAATACCGAAGCTCTTACTACTTGGTTGATGGCGTACTAGCAGTCCACCAGTAGTGCTAACGACCCAGTGCTAGTATATGAAAATAACACTTTATAATTTCGTTCTATGTCTTTTCTGGATTTACCGACAACCGGAACGCTCAAATCGAAAAGGGATATTTAAAAACACATGAGGAACACTGGCTCCGTCTTGTTCAAAATCGAAAAACAGCAAAAGCTAAAGACTGAGCAACAAGTATCCCACCGAAAAAAAAACCGGGTGCGCCGGTAGGGTAAGCACATCCTGATCTAATGAATGGCACGATTCGTGTTGTTCATGCAAATAAAAATTTCGTGATGTCACATTCGAGGAAAAGAGATAAATAGGTTTATAAGTTATAATTTAATAGACACTAATAAAAATCGCCTTTTTATTAAATCAAATATGAATGATGCAGTTATGAAACTTAATCATAATTGTACATCTTATTAAAAGTAATCAATACGTCAATCAAACTTAAACAAATATAAAGGAAATCTCGCTCTTGTTTATATAACATACCACTTTTATTATATTTCTACAAGTGAGTTGACTAGAGATATTATCAAATATAGAGAGGAGTCTCAGCAATTAAGCAAATGATTATCCCTGATGTTGAAAGATTTTGAGTTATATCAGTATATATAGCCTTTTTCTGTAATTAGCAGTTGAATCATCTGCCCAAGATTTTACCGAAGAAAAGACACTTACTAGGTAATGTCATTTACATATTTCTGCAAAAATTATTGCAAATAATAGTCAATGTTGGTTGACCCATATAATGAGAGTAACATATCAGCGAAAGTAGTAAAACAAATCAAATCGAATACTTTACAAGCAACACAGGGATTCGGTATATCAAAATCGAGTATGGTACAAGCAACATACGGATCCGGTATATCAGCATTAAATCACCCCAAACCAATATGTGAATCAATAGACAACTTTTGAGTTCGATGCATTTCCGTCAAAAACTTTGGTTTTAGTGAACATCATTCGTGCGTTTAGGGGCATCGTCACTTCCGTTCCCATGTTGAGCGAGTGGTTGGAAAACTATGATGCAATATTGCACGAATTATTCGGCAAATTAAATTCTCATAATTGACAATCAGCACTGCTATCATTAGGGAATTGTGATTAAGTACCTACGGAACAAACATTTTTTCTATTTTATCCTGCACAATGACGATCACTAAGACGCTTGATGAACGTTAATAGTGCAGGAATACAGGCGATCCCCTTTATCTGGTAAATGACGTCATAAAGGCGCGCATAATTGACGAGTTTTTTCCGGTGAAGGACAAACTCAAAAGTGGTCTATTCAATAGAGACAATTTCAAATCTGATACAAATATTCAATATTTGCAACAACCATCGTTTACCGTGATCAGTAGAAAAAAAATACAGGACTCCAAGGCATATTCAAATGGAGGAAGTCCATAAAAACTGACAAAATCAAACGCTATCAACAGAACAAGTACAAAGACAACTACCATATTCCTGACTTTGTACGGGAATTTTCTTAACTGCTAAGTATAGAAATAGAAACAAACCTGGGTATTTATAAGCATTGTTTAAATATTACCTTGTATTACTAAATGTTAAAACGGATTAAAGATACCAAGCTTTTGATTAAAAAACGCTAGAGCGGCGGTTCGTCCAACAGACTAATCAGCGTTCCTCGAATAAAGAAAGTTGGAAGGCAAAATAAATTACGAAACTTAAAAAACTATTCGATTTCGTGTCAAGAAATTATGACATTAAAACTCCTATTCCATTGATTTATGTGAATAACAGAAGCATCTAGTCTATAATAAGCATTACTGTGTTCATGCTAGTCTAAGTGTAATTTTGTTTTATTTTCAATATTCTTTCCTTTTTCAATCTTTCCTCTGTATTAAGCAAGAGTTTGTTTGTCGTTTTTCTCGAATTTGAATTATTTAAAGGGAATGACCGCGAAGTCATAAACAACGCTTTTCAAATCAATATGCAGAAAGATTTTTGATATCATTATATGTGACTATTCATGTCAAATATGTATATTTATAATTTAATGTTTGATTGTTTTCCAACATTAAGTTCAATGATATGTAATGATAAACACCGGACTTTTTGTTTTAATTAGTAAAACTACAATGTAAGACGTATTTTTTCGTATCATTATATTTATGTTGAAATTTAAGTTTTGGTTTGTATCTACTGAATAACACTACATGTATATCAATTATCGAATTTACTCTATCAAGTCAAGGAATTTGGCGATTATTTTTCACTTGTTCAATTGGCTGATAGTATTTGATTTGTCATTTTTCATGGGCTTCCGCTTTTTAAATTTGCCTTTAAATTCAGTATTATTGTTATACTTGTTTACTATATGGATACATTAATATTAATTGTTAAATGTATTTCTAATTGTCGAATTTCTGTCATCTATAAACCAATTTTGAGAATAGTTTATCACTACCTTCACAAAGCTTCCTCAATTTCTTAATTTTTAAAGTATACAGACTTTTAATTTAAATATTCCTGCGTGTCATATACTTATAGTATCAACAGCAGTTAAGGATGTAGTTAGGTGAAGTTAAAAAAAAACTAGAATTTTAGATTGACACTATAAGTCAGAAGAACATTAGTAAAGGAACAAAATAAGCTAAAAAATATTGATAGGTTATGGAACTCCTTTTTGCGATATTTGATTTTTTTTTTAAATGGCGGGAAAAGACTTACTCGGACCTTTACCTTATATTTAGCATTGACATTATGTGTGTCTCAAATCGTAAGAAAAAAATCTAGAATCTGCATAAATTTTGGTAATGCCCTTTTTATGAGCTATTGAAATTTTCTATGAAAAGAAAAAGAGTGGGTGATGTGGGGTAAACTATTTTACCCTGTATCAAAGGATAAAATCAAAGAAGTCCGAACATCTGAAAAAATTCATATACCTGACCAGAGTACATCCTTATAAGGAAAATCTTAACCACTAAAGAGAAAAATCAATGTATTACCACTAATGGAATATTTTAGACGTGGAAACGGAACAAAACTATTAATTCTCAGTATACATTTCAAATAAAAAGCACCTCTTTTAAATTTCTCCAAGCGATTCCTAGAACAACAATAGGCCATTGACTGTTATATTCCTGATTTGTAATTTGATCCTACATCATTTCCAATTGATATGACATTTTTTTTTTTTTTTAATTAACTATGAATCTCCATATATTAGTTTACAATTTGACATTACCTTTTATCTTTACAGTTTGTTTTCGTGTATTCATATTTTAATTATCTGTAAATTGGACTACACCTTTTGAATTTTATCGTTTTATTGATCCCATTTGATTTCAATGTTTCTAATATCCTTCTCCAAAATCTTTCATCAGGAGATCTCACGTGAAGATTAAAAGACATGTCATCTGGCTTTCACACAACGTCACTACGAGGTTGATTCTTACGTTTTGTAAATGACATACCAACACTCTGCAAACTTCATTTAATTTTGCAATAATATTAAACGGTGCCATTTTAACTGCACCTGTTGCACATTTCGAGAATGAAAATCTCTTTATAGATGCTTAAGGGCAAAATATTAAAAACCCCAAACGTTTAGCAGCAAATTTAACAGAAAACCGCAAAAATACAGCTTGTAACAGTCAGCCAATTTATCACTGAAGATTTAAAGAGCAATCATATCAATTGCTTGAGGGGCTGTAGACGATGTAGCTTAGAAAACATTAAAAGAAGCATCCATAAAAGATACTATGAGGCTTACCATTTAGATGCTTTACGTGGGTATCGTGTACATTAGACGCGTCAGTTGCACTAGAATCAAACCAGTTTGATGGCAAAGTCAATGCAAAGTAAAAGCATTAAAAACAAAAAGATGTCCTTTATCGGACTAAAAACATGCACCTATAGCTACATCGACTGCAGGTTAATTTTGAGCCTTGGCTAATAATCTTTTGCGCAAAATATTGGCATTCAAAAGAAAATTGTATCTAATGTTTCTGTTATGAGTTGTCTCATATTGTCACAAAAAGAAGCAGTCTATGAATTGAATATTTGAATTAAAAGTTGTATCATTGTTATACATTTAGTTAAAATAATTTAAGGTATGTTACGGTTGCCACCGTAACATATCTTAAATTATTATTGAGTGGTGTAATTTTCAACTTTCCTAAGTTTTAGTTGTTAATTAATGTTATAAACGTAATTTTTTGGTATCAAAAAAATTCAAATGTTTCACATTCGGTCATCGGTGTTGATCACTATCTCAAGGTCAACGAACAAAAATGAGTACAAAGATGTCAATATATTTATTAACAAAAAAGAACCTACACTTTTCTTTTCTAACTCGTCTCTTTTTTCCGTTCCAATGACGATGTTGATATATTAGAGAGATTTACTATTCCAACAACGCTACATCCTGAAACAATTGCAGTTTTTGGATGAGTCCGTGTTGAGTCGTTTAGTTTTCTATGTATTGTTTTGAGAACTTATTTGTCTTCTCGTAGTTTTTCGTTTAATGCTATGGCATTGTCTCTTTCTCTTCAACTTATGAGTTTTAAATGCTCACCTTGTTATCTTCCGTCTACTTTATACGCGACCTAAGAATTAACTACTAGTATAAGAAACACATTAAAAAGAGTGAAAAGATATCAAGGGTATAATAAAAGAATCATAAGTCCAGCACAACAGGCAAACCATGGCCAAAACGAGAAAACGACAAAAATGCATACCACAATGAAAAACATTACACAGAAAACTAAAGATTGCATACACGAACCAGTCATTATCTAAGGGTGAATTCAGTGTTCCCATGGTGCACTGGAATGGTAAGTAGATACACTAGTGGTACCCGTCGTGTTGTTTGTTGCAAGAAAGAAAAAAATAACACGATGAAACGTCACATTCGGTAATATTACAACTGTGGGGAAGAGAACTTCCATGCGGTTACAACAAGTTGAATAGAACCGTGATCATCTGTGACATATATGAACAATAATGGGCAACCAAATCATAATGTCGTCATTTGGAGGTCTTGATGTAATAGCTTTCGTGTAACTTTCTATTTATAGCAATCAGTAGAGGAAATGCAGCCCTGGTATATATTACCAACATTCAACTTGTATTAACCTATTCAAGATCTCTTTTGTTGTCACTCGTACCAAATTTTCATCCAAACCAGTAAAATTTTCGAAAGGAAAACCATTTAGAGCCATTATTACAATGGCTTCCAAATAAGGAATAACTTTTAAGCAAGGAACCATAATAAGAAATGCAGCCCTGCAATATCATATCAACATTTACCTTTGATTTAACTGTTCAAGATCTTCCTCCTCGTACCGATTTTTCATTCAACCAAATCATGATGGTGTCCGTAAAACTTTCTAATGGATGAACTCAACTTTACTATTTTGAATCCTTAAAGTTATAGCTTCCATGGAATTCATAGCCGTTTATCAAGAAAATCATGATAGGAAGCGCAGTCCTGATATATCCTAACACAATTTTACATTGCTTTAACTAGTCAGGATCATTTTCCTGGTCGCCGTACCGACGATTTGTACACTTACAAATCTTAAACACTTGCGAATCAGGGCAATATTTTTGTTCTAAAATAGCTCATGCGTGGGTATTATAGCAAGTCTATCTTACATGTAACAGAACAGTTGAGTTGAAAGAGAATTTATGACGTCGTAAGTCTGCGTCATTGACGTTGTTTAGGAATATTGCTATTAACAGATTACCTTGATAACCGCTGGTCTTTCAAACTCTATGATGTTTCTCGGCCTTCGATTAGATTATAGCCGAGAAACTTTCTCTCTTATACTATAACTTCCCAAGGGGTTCTCAGTCAGGACGTATTTGAGATCTTTCGATTACAACGAGAACGATCTCAATCAAATTACTATCATTGTCATTGACCATAACATGTCTTGGTTCCGAAAAAACAGAACTTGTTGACATAAAATTTTGATAACATGAATTAGGAAACTAAAACAATGGCCCCACATGGGGACAATGAAGTATTTTGCAGTGTGTGGTAAAAACGAAAGGTGTAAGATGTATAAGTATATAAATATATATCGGATGCATAGATACTGCATAATTAGGGACACTAATTCCGAGAATCATAGTTAATTGGCTCTTGCATATTTCGTTTGCTTATAGATTTCTAACAGCAATAAGAAAACTTTCAATATTGAGATTTTTCCATTTGTATTATTTGTTTTCCCCTCTTGAATCATTTAGAATTTTGTATATCCTGTGTCTTAACATAATTCAATGGTACAATACCGCAGAAGAGGACGTTCAGTGGTTTTCTTATATTATATGATCCAATTCACTCCGCTTTCGTAACGATATTTATGGTGCAAGAAAGTAGCCACTTGTTAAAATATGTGTCAATAACTGAACCATTTACAAAATAAATCGGCTTTTTAATGTATTGTAAAGCAATGGTCTTTTCACAAATCATTCAAGAAACTAATAATAGCGCATTTCAAGCGGAAAACTTTGAAAAGTAAAAAATGAATTATTCTTGAAAAAAAATATTATTCAAATAATTGCAAGACATACTAAACAGATTTTAAGTAAGGGTTCATATCAACGATAATTCCGTTCAATTTGAAATGCAATATCGACCTTGTCAAAGGCTAAGGATTTTTTTTCCATACTTTTATATAACAATTACAACCTAATAGGAAAGATATTGACATGAAAGCATTAGAACAAGTCAATATTTTGCAAGGACTTGCAAAACAACAGCAAGAACTGATGGAGTTCATAGCGAAAACAGAGGATCTGGTTATAAAGATAGAAAAGAATGCAGATTTGTCCCTATCAGATATACATGGTGTTAAAGGTCAGATGAAGCAATGGTGTGATGGTTTGGAGACATTGGAAGAAAAGGAAAGAAAAAGGAGAAAAGAACAGGAAGAAGTAGAACGAAAGAAAATGGAAAAAGAAGAAGCAGAACGCCTGACAAAAGAAGAGGAAGATCGGAAAAAACGAGAACAGGAAGAGGCTGAGAAACGAAAAGCACAACAAGAAGAACGGGAAGCTGAGGAGAAACGACGAAAACAAGAGGAAGAAAAGAAAAAGAGGGATTGGAAAAACTGGCCACCTTTCATGTAATTTTTATGATTTATATGTTATTCTTCCATTACCTCTTTCTGATATTTCTAGCATACTGAAGTTAATGTTATACACACATAGTAGGATATAATGGTATTACTAGGTAGGATATAACATGAGTACTAGTAGAATATAAAGAAAACTGTCAGTTTTCATAAATGATCCTATGACTTTCTTTTTATATAAGACACATGAAGTTATTTGTGCTTTATTACTACCTTCAACCAATTATATATGGAACATTTGATCTAACGAATGATACCAGAAGAATACTACGAGGATCTCTCACTAGTAGAACAGGGATGTAATAACAAGACTTTTGACAACAAACTATAAACCTCTGAATCAGTTGAAATTTTATAGCTAAACTCATCGTCAACATAGAGGTCGGAAACTTTATCATTCTTTAGGACATATATAGAATGAGATGTTTTGAGGGATATGTCCACATAAATCCTCCTTAATAAGTATTTTTATTTTATAAAGGAAACACTCTGAATTATGCAAAGGAATTATGTACTTATTAAGATTAGTGTTTGCGATGCTGAGCGCTCGGGATTACAGTAATGATATCGCATTAATACACGATTTGTTTTCATGTTCATTCGTGAATTGTTATTTAAAACTACACGTTGTGTTTAATTTTATGTAATACCTGTGAACATATTTGGTAATACAATTTTTATATAGCATTTCACATTACACATTGACGTCAATATCAATCCCATGATTTCCCTTAAAGTTTTATATTGATCAAGGGTTCATATTGTTTATGATATAGAATCTCAGTAGACTGTACGAATCCTTTCTAAATAAATCTATGCAACCCGTGACTGATAAAGATCTTGTGTGATTCTATAGTCATAAAATCGATATGGGTGTGATAAGGATATGCATATCATCATTATTTTCATATAGCATCGCATTTGTAGTAGATTTATTGTACAATATTTTTATTATTTACTAAATGTATGACTTACGATAAAAACTTTGTTATTTTAAACACCCGATTTTATTTCCAAATTTCATCCATTTATTTAGATATTACAATACAACTCAAAACAAATTCCGACAAGATATCTGCTGCGTTATATTTACACTGCCTGATGGAACTAAAGATGGTGATTTTGTCTGTAAAAGCTCTGACGGCGACGACGATCTAGACAAATGTTTGGAAACCAATGACGAGCAAGTTATATCCCCTTTAATCACAATAAAAGCAAAGATAGACAAAAAGACATTAGAGGTATAATTAATCCGTTTAACTATTTGTACGAGATGATTTACATGTTATGCAACTTTAATATGTAATTTAACTCTAGGCTAAATAATTCGTTTCATAATCCTAGCAAACTACACAACCTTTATCATTACCCGGCGTAATAATTTCAGTATCACTCATGCCATTGGGCACCTTGGATAAGAAATGATTATTTCATGATTGAAATTCCCTACACGAACATGACGAAAAAATTGCAAAATATCAAGGTTCCATATCGCTGTTCTTCGTTGCATCGTATCAAAGTGATGCCTCCAGCACAGAACAAAATATCATACCAAACTCAAGTTGATAACAAATCCCATAGCATGCGTATTATTGGTATTATTTGCTAGCTGTTGATCACGCTACATCACTCGGTGCATTTAACAGCACAGCTGAGGGTAATGTTAAACTGAATTCAATAAAGGGAAAAGGAATTTAACAAATAGTATTTTGTAGTCCAACAATAACAAAAACATAGAAAGGAATCCATTCAGACAACCCAGGTGGCACATGGGGATTCATTGGTTGACTTGATACGACAATATGAAGGAAAACAATGTGATATAATAATCTCTATAAAAACTCGTCAAATGGAGGAATTCTGGATGTACATAAAGAAATAGTTCTTCCAGGAATAATTACACCATACCTGTAAAATTATAAGAACATACACCTCAAGCACAGAAAAACGTTTTTCATTTTTCACAGCAACTACTTATGCATCATTGTAATTTCGTGACGACCTGCTAACATCGGTTTAAGTGGAATACGTTGCTTCGTGTGAATTTCTGATTTGTAGAACACAGCTGTGTCTAACCTCAACAAATAAGAGAAAACTACAGCAGACAAGAAAATCTTACAAATACCGTCTGACAATTTATGCAAAACAATTTTGACGCACAAACTGGTCGAAAGAGTGAAAATGAAGTATTTGCATAAGAGACATATCCTTAGATCATCCTATTGAAGATTAATCTACTTCTAATTACATCGTTGACCAATATTTCCATTTTTCTACACTTAAGTCTAACAAATCCTTTATAGAATTACCCACACCATTGTATACAAGGCCGTACGTTATAAATTGTATAAATACTTCTCCTTTTTCACATAAACGTTGAACGTTGTACTTGCCCTTTAAACAAGGTTATTAACATTTAATTGTTGAATTTGGAATTAATGTGTTAATGTATACATGTAACGTGTTCACTGTTTCAAAATAATTATACCATTAATTATTGAAATACTAACTGAAATATATTATATCTCTATATATTTAAGTTGTCAATGCGGGTATATGTATAAATAATTCTCCCTTTTCACATGAACGTTATACTTGCCCTTGAAACCAGGTTGTTAACATTTATTTGTTGAATTTCGAGTTAATGTGTTATTTTATACATGTAGCGTGTGCACTGTTTCATAATAATTATACCATTATTGAAATACTAACTGAAATTATTATATCTCTATATATTCAAGTTACCAATGCGGGTATATGTGCCAATTGTATCGCACACTGAAAGTCTTCTGCCTACACTGAAGTTCTCAATTAAAGGTCAGAAATGGAGATCTGGAAAATCTCTTCCAGAAATTCAGCTACCTAAAGTGACAGTAAGTGAATGAAGACATTGACTACATGATGGTGTAAGAATATCAAACAATAAAATAAAGTATTTTCACAACTTCAACTAAATTAAGACTCGACAAATAAAGGCAACAGTAGTATACCGCTCTTCAAAAGTCAATAATCGATTGAGAGAAAACAAATCCAGGTTTCAAACTAAAACCGAGGGAAACGCATCAACTATAAGCGGAAAACAAAAGAACAACAGAAACACTGAAGTGCAGCAAAAACAAACGCCAACATGCATAGAAACGAACTATTTGATAACATCTGCAATATTCCTGACTTGGTACAGGACATTTTAAGACAAATGGTGGGTTGAACCTGGTTTTAAGGCTAGCAAAACCAAACAAACAAACAAAGCCAAACAAAGTTTTAATTAGAACCGTTTCTGAAATATGTTTACTCATAATGATCATTAACCTTGTTCTAATGTCTAAATATGTTAAATATATTGTCACTGTCGTTAGTTCATATTGGTCCAATTGACAAACAGATGTTTGTGGATTGCAAATTCTCTTACTTGCTGTAAAATATTGAAATATCAGGGGTTTTTTTTTACCGCCTAGGTCGTCTCGTGCTGAATTTGATGGTTTGATGTCCTGTGTGGTTAATTAAAAGAACTTGCATTTTTTTATGTATTTGAATCATTGTCATAATTTATAAAAGATATTTTCTTTTAAATAATATATCTTTAACGGTTTTTCTGAGAACAGGGACTGGTGTCATACATAACCTAACGAATTCAATATAAGGTACACTATTTTAGATAAGAAGTACTTTGAGCTAAAAGGTATTTTAACAACTAAAATTTATTTTTTAAAGTAAGGAGATAGATTTTAGTTTCTACAATGACTATTAACATAAAGTTATTTTTTGCACAGAATACGTATAAAGGATGTATGTGATAAATGTCAATTATGCAGGATTGATTTTATTTTACATTAATTTTCATCTATCGTTTCGAAAGGTTGATCCATTGTTTAATACATCAACCGTCCTTTTTAACATCGCTCTGCAGAATAAAACAGATTGTGGTTTTTTTTTCAATTAAACCAAATAAGCATAAAAGATTAGCAAAAAGCAGTTTCCTTCGTGTAAAGTAACTTGTTAGTATATGCATTATGTAAATCAGTGTCTTTCCCAGATTAATAAAAAATTGGGCCATCCGTTTCGTTTCGGGGTACTATATAAACCTAGTTTAATCATCTCAACCGCCCCTTAGTTGGATTATTTTTGCAACATCACATTTTTTGGGTTTTTCCAATTATCCAAAATGCTCGGTTAAACAGGGACAAGACTTTCTAAAATCAACATATACAGTATCCAATAAATAAATTATATCTGTATTTTGCCGTAAAAAACTTTTTTTTTTCGTATTTAACTAGGGTATTTCCTTTATTGGAATAGAACTGCCATTTAATCAATTGGAGAATGTTCAGTGTGTTGCTGTTGCTAGACACAAATGACATGAAACCGAAGTCAATGCTGGAGGAAAGATTTATGAACCAGAAGTTGACAGGAATATCAAAATCAAGTTTCCACAGAAAGCGTTTGCTGGAAAGACTATTGTTGCCACTAAAGTATTTATTGGGAGAACATAACATATCTGACATAGAGGGAAAAGGTATCAAGGGGACATTCAAATCTCATAAGTTGAAAAAAAAATGACAACGCCATGGCAAAAAAAGGAAAATGACGATAAGACGAACAAGTCCACAAAATACTACATAGAAAACTAAAGATTGAGCAACACGAACCCCACCAAAACACGGGGTTGAACTCAGGTGCTCCGAAAGGATAGGCAAATTCTACTCTACATTTAGCAAGCACCCTTCGTTAGCCATCATTGATTACACAAAATAGAAAGGAGAACAATGCTGTTGATATTGTAAATATTAATTGAATCTTGGCATACAAAGTAATTTATTTGGTAAGGTATTGGATATAACATAGCCGGTACATAATTGTTTGTTTGAGAAGAAACACATCATAGCTGTGAAAATGAAAATATTTTTTGTTGTTATTGAAGGAAATTGTAAAAAACTAGATAAATCACTGTGGCGACAAATGTGTGTACAAGTTATTTACAAAACAAGGTTTTGTCTGTCTTGCCAATCTAAACACGTTTGAAATAGAGACCAAATCCTCCCTTCTTTATATTCGAAAGTCAACATAAATTACTCTTTGGCATTAATAAAAAGTGATAGAATATACCATGGGGGCAATCCACAGATGATAAGTCCAAAAAAACACCATCGCCAAGAAATTATTAATCATTACACATAAACTAAGCATTTCGCAATGCGCCCCAGGATAAACCGGGGTCAACTCATGTGCTACGGAAGGGCTTGGCAAAAATGGGGGTTTATGAGTTTTTTTTTTTACAACTCACTCATTGTCTTTCATTTAAGTTCCCTAAAAGCGTTGCATAAATATTTTGATCGCTCCTAAGACAAATTTATTTGATTGATATTATAACGCATTCAATAAGATGTCCCACAACATTTGATTTTTTAAATTAACTGCTATGTATGTTTTTGAAGATAATCAAATGCAAGAATCAAACAACAATATAAACAATATCGTATTTGTTGATATATATGTATATATATATATATATATATATATATATATATATATTCCGACTCTTCAAAATTCAAGATTCTATCCTAAATTAAGGTAAATTATATGGCCTTCCAAATACCGTTTCGATTCCAAAACAACGTTCAAACCTATGATTGTGTTGGATAAAAACCGCAATTTTTATACGTGTGCATGCAAAACAAATTTCTTGGTAGAGGGGTCTAAATACAGCACAAACAACATTTACCAAAAGACCAAAAAAGTGAAAAAGTATATTTAAACAAAACGCATTTGACTAACAGGTCGAACAACGGATGTTCTTAAACCCTGCTGACTGCCATCATGGCCATTGGCGATTGTCAAATAAACGGATCACAAGATGTAACAAAATGGATCTTTATTATTAATTTAATACCAAACGGAAAACAATAAACTTGCAAAAAAGATGGTATACCGCAAACATGAGGTGCAAACATTTGTACACCATATCCGGATTTCGACAATTAATGTCTCTTCAGTGATGTTAGGAATCGAAACGGTATTTGGAAGGCCATATATATATATCAACTGTTTAACGTGCTATTGTTACTTTTATATATATATATCAACTGTTTAACGTGCTATTGTAAGTAAGTATTCAAAGATAAGTTTAACATCAAGTTTGGTTAGTAAACTTATTTGAAATAAAGTGATTGTTTTATTTTAAAGGCAGTACCATGGACTCAAAACGACTTAAAAAATGCATCAAAGAAACACAAAGAGCTGCAAAATATCAAAACCGCTGGTTCTTATATAGATATATCATGTGAAAATACAACAAAGGAAGATTCTGAATTAGGGATGTATGATTTTGGATGGGTTGGTTAGTGTTATTATATATTTAACATGTTTAAGAGACCAAAGGAATATACAAACTCATAAGTCGAAAACAAACTGACAATGCCATGGCAAAAAATGAAAAACGACCAAAAGACAAATAACAGTAAATGAAACACAACATAGCAAAATAAAGATTGAGCAAAACAAATCCCACCAAAAACCAGGAGTGTTCTCATGTGCTCTGAAAGGGTAAGCAGATCCTGCTCCACTACTGGCACCCATTGTGTTGCTCATATAAGTACAAACCCCGTGACAGGTCTTATTCGGTAGGTCATATTCGAGGAAAAGAGGACAGAATTTTGGTTACAACAACTGGAACATATCTATCGTCATCTGTGAAACAGATATTCCATAACGGTCAACCAACTCGTTTGGAAAGGATGATTTCAACTTCACCACTTGAAATTCTTGGTTAAAAGACTTCCTTGTAAGCAGTGTCCCTCTATAAAGGAAATCATAATATGAAATGCAAGCTCGGGAATATCGTATCAACTGAGAGATATATACTCCATATGCAGGCGCTGCTGGAATGTTGCTACATAGAAACGGTTCACAAATGGGAAGCTGAAATTATCTCTTTTGTCGAAAAGTTTTATGATCATCATCAGTAGCATCAGCATCATCGTCGTCGTCGTCGTCGTACACAAACATACACCGGGGGCGTTGTATCTTTTTATGTAAAAATAAAAATACAGGTGTTCATATATAAAAATATGTATCTTTGAATATTTTAGTTGACAAAAATTTACAAAAGAATCAGTCTGTTAACCAAGAGACCCTTAACAGATGTAGCAGATGGGTCGTTAACAACTTAAACCCTGATGAAACTGCGTTACCATTACATGATGTCTTTGATATTGCTTTTGTGGAGGAGCTGAAGGTAAGAAAAGTTTGATGCAAAACGTATTAAGTTCGACATCTTGAATTATTGAGATTACTTGATTTAAGAATTTTCAACATCGGATAAACACTCTTATTCAATATGAATTAATCATTAATTGTCGGAGTCAAAAAATTTAATTGCAAATCTAAGTTATCATTACTGAGCGCTACATGCAACTAAATGTGAATTTCAGGAAATAATACTAAACTTTTAAGATGTTAAAGTTCAATGCAGTATATTTTTTTGTTTTCTGATAAATAATGTTTTTTTTTGCAGTCGAACGAGACAGAAGGTGACAAAAACCGATTGATTCTTCGTCATTTGTTTGATTCTGATTCAGATAGTGATTTTGATAAATTTGTTGAAGGATTAAAATTATCCCAACCGAATGTGGCGAAAAGGATAAACTGTGTTAAAAATCAGGTATTGCTCTCCAGGAAAACAGACTACACTGACGCCGATGGAAATTTTGCCAGTGATTTTGATCCAGGTATGTAGTTCAAAATATTCTCATTTTAAGAGAAAATAAGATATGTTGAATATTGGTCGTTTACATTCTATAAAATGCAGATGGTATTTTAGAAGCATTTTGAAATGTTTATATTATATTATATTAGGTTTGATTACAATATGTTTTTTTAATTTTTAATATCTAATTCCATACAGTTCATTGTACACTGATGAATGGGAAAATGTTAAAATATGAAAATTCCACAATATCAAATTAGTTTCTGCTTTCAATGATTGAGCTTCCATTTGAAACCCAAGGGTGTATTTATAACTGAGTAAGGTATGAGCCTTATGATCAAAAGAAATACAATTACTTACATACATAACCCACATGTTGAATCTTCTAATTCATAATTATTTTAACAAAATAAATTAATAATAAAATGTACGTACGCTCCGCTCGGAAGTTAGTATTAATCATTCTAATGCTTTGTGTAATTAAACAACGTCTCAAACAGAAACTTACAAGAAGTATTTGCATTCTTTTTATGTTTCTGATAAACGTTTTTGTAAAGATATAATTTTTCATATTTCTTTTTATTGAAGTTAGTGTATGATTCCTGTTTTTTTCAGTATTCAACTGTATCGATACGTCCGTCTCCCTAACAATTATGTATGTTTATCGTTTAAATGCTAAACAAACAAACGAACGTTTACTGATAAATTGTGCTTTATACAATATAATATAAATTTATTCATTTTGAACGTCATTTTAGTTTTAATTGATAAAACTGTCAATATATTACAAATTGTACATGATCTTTTTCAATAGATTTTGAAAAGAAGGAAGGTACTATTCGTGTTGTCTCAAAATTGACAGGAAAGAGTTGGGAGGTTGCACCAATAGAAGCATCTGAAGAATATCCAAAAGCAAGATTCTTGAAACTTCCATCAGGAAATAATAAATATCAGTAAGTGTATGAAAAGCAATACACAAATTTTTAAAACAAAGATAATACTACACATGTGAAAGAAGTCAACAGTCAAATGTTTTGTCTTTCGTTTCGTTAGTCTTAATGATAGAGTTTAATCATATCTCATCTTATTTATGTTTTGTTTTAATAGGCGAAAGATATCAAAGGGACAATCAAAATTCATGTCAAAAACAACCCGACAACATCATGAGAAAAATCGAAAAACGACAAAAAAACAAAAAAACAAAAAAACAAAAAAACAAACATCTTTCTGCATAACACTATATAAAGAGCTAATGACTGAGCAACATGAACCTCAACAAAACTTTATTGTATACGGTGTTTCCTTTATTCCAAGTTTGGTTAAATATGTGCGTTAATTTTTCACTCCAAACTTTAATTCATTTTGAGAGAAGACAGCATCTTTATAGCGGAACGTGAAGTTAAGGGTTAATGTTAGCTCTATCTTTTTGAATAGTTCGTGTATATATTCTGCATCATATGAATAAATGAACAAATCGGCAATAGGAAGCACAGTTTTTTCCAATAGGAATATCAAAAATCTGTGGAAAATAAAGTCTTCTAAATATTAAAATATACGTTTTAAATAAAACAAATCAAGCATCTTGCTAATTTCAGGGATGAATAACAAGGGAATTGTTTTGTTTTTTAATCAGAATGTATTTTACAAGGCACGATATATCACTTCTTAACACGAGTTATTTGTAAAGCATTTAGAAAAATAAAAACCACAGTTATAATGAAAGGGGGAATGTGAAATAAGACGCCTTTGTTTCCTTTTTTCCTTAGAGTTCTGGGTTTAGTCGTTCCTGATGAAATGTCAGAGGCAG